AAAAATTACGTACTGATACATACGTATTTTTTATACGGAACCACTGATCTAGACCATATCGGTCACGTTTAGTAGTTAATAAATTGGATAGAATTTATTTAAAAAAAAAAGAACTTCGTGTCCCATCGGACTACAAAATAAAATTGGACTTAATGATATTAAAATTAAGGTCCTGTTTTATAAAACATTTATCAATTATGTATTATGAAAACATTTAAAAATCAACTTTATTACGAGTAATTTTAAGCGCAAGTTTATTTCTTTTAGTCCAAAGGTGTTGATAAATTCACTTTCACACAACACTTAAATTGTCGTATTGTCACATTTCACACACACACACACACACACACACATACACGCACACAATATAAACAGGACACGGTGTGTGAATCGACACCTTAATGTAAAGAGGTATAACTTAAAAATAATAATTTTCAACTGTGCTTAAACGAAAAAAAAAATAAGCTAGTCATCTAAAAAAAAAAACTTAATTTTAGTATAACTACATATTAACTAGCAACAAATGTGCATTCGTACAATATATCAATACACTGACATGACTAACATAACATTATTAAAAAAAAAAACTTAAAACTAAGTACATGCAATATCAAATAATCATGCGAAATAATACATGCTTTGTCTTATACGTGAAATACATAAAACTACACATTTAATCGATGCAAAGCTAAATAAATACTCATATCATATCAGATCACTACTCAGTCCAAACATTATACGATATGAATGTCAAATTAATCAACTAATGTCGAGGTTAGGTGACCATAGAGTTGGCGCGACGCCAATTTTTTTTCCTCCCAAGGTAGTAACTATACGCGATACATAAAACCATAACTAAATTGGCAACCTTAAATTGTTTTAAGGTAAACAATATTTGTTGTTGTTTTTTTTTTCATCTAATTCTTTGTACACGATTACACGATGCGATGTGTTGAGTTCTTACGCGAGCCAAACGAATTAAATGGCGTCATTTCAGACAGAGATGTATTGATAGGTTAATTATACATGTTTCCTACATTTCTTTAATGTCTTAACAGCTTATATACATTGACAGACAATATCACCATCATTTAGGGGCGTGGGCGAAACTTAGAACTGCTAGTATAGCGAAAAATATTTTTTTTACAAAAAATGTAAATAAATCCGCGTGCCACGAAGCCACTAAGATTGCGCGGCAGTGGGCGGTGACCCGAATCGGCCACGCCTTACACAGCCTCTGCCATTATAATTTCAACCCATACATTGTCCACAGGTGAATAAAGGAACAATATAAAAATTCCAAATCTTGACTTGCTGTAATTAGATACAGAACTATACCATCTTGCTATGTAACCGCAAATAAAAATATTTTAATTTAAAAAAAAAAACATAATTTTTTGATAATATTAAATATGCCTACTACACCATTGATAATGACATGTTATTTGTTATATTAATGTAAAGATATATCTTAAAGAATAATATATTTTTTTAAATATAACATAAAAAAAAATCAAATAAAAAGTTATTGCACTTTCACACTGCGATCAAGGTTACGAACTTACATTGTGTTTGAATAACATCTATTTATAGCTTTTACTAATAACAAACGCTGACCTAGAATGCTTCCGTACTCCGACTGCAAACCTATGTAAGTCAATAATTGTAAATTTTCTTAAAATTATTATTATAAATAATATTACAGAACAAAACACAACATTGACAATATTAAATAGATAAATAAAGCAAATTAAAAAAAAAAAAAAGTATATAACATTAACTTGAAAAGCTAAGTGAAGTACACTTAAGTGGTCAAGCGTCTACGAGAGCATTTCTCGACATTTTATATTTTCATGTTCAAGAAATGCTTAGTGTTAAAACTACACATTTTGGATAGCATTTTAAAAATTTAAAGCTACACTTGCATACGTTGTGTGGTATCAGACGTACTCCTTGTGCAACCTTTCACTTAAACAAATATGCTTGGAGGCACAGCGTCACCCTAAACTTTTAATAAGTACACGAAACATGAGAGAGACAACAGAAAAATTCAGGATAGCGCTCCAAATAGAGTACATACGGCCAGCGCCATCTGCTGTGTAAAAGAGGAAAATAAACGAAGCTTGGTGTATACAAAAACGAAGTGTGAAGTGAGGAAGAAGAAGAATAAACGCAATCACTGCCGTCACATTTGAATTTGATGTAATTTACGCGACTCTAAATACAGACAGGCAGCGCTGTACGCATTATATTAGGCCTATGAAGTACGGTTTAAGTGTTTACACTGGGCCTACCGGGATTAATATAGCGAGTTTTTGAGACCATTCACTATACAATGTTTTTATACAAATGAACAAACTTATAACGTAATATTTCACTCAGTATCCAGTAAATAGCCTCAAACTCGTTCAGAATGTGTCAGCATTCAGATTTGTTATTTCCTAGACCTTGCGTTAGCACGTGATGAGGCCGTTCCTCTTCCTCCTCCTCGTCCCATCGCGGCGAACTCCGTCCGCTTGAGGGTTGCGAAGGCTGGGAGGCCTCGCATTCAGAATGTTCTCGATGCTCGCATGGCCAGCAGCCATGATGCTCAGAGAAGGCCGAATCGCACACGGGTGAGGTAGGCGTGGGGGGCGGTTCACCCCCTCCAGGATCCGCGTACGAGTCGATGCCTAAAGTCGGCAGATTTTTTGTTGTGGCAACTGAATTAGGCGTCCATTAGGCTTTTTTTACATTAGCTTTATATATATTCAGTTCTCTTTGCTGTCGCTGCCAACCGTGAATAACGACAATAGCTGCATCGCATTAAATTAATCGACGGGAAACAATCTCATTTCTGTTTTACGTCAGCCGTAAAAAGCTATTTGAATACTGTTTACGCTCTTGTTCCCAATAAATATTACGTAAACTACAAAAATCATTCCCGTCGAATGGATCGTTAAAACATCTCGCGTATACTGTTACATTTTATTAATAGTTAGACACCTCACTTTTTACGTAGTTAAAATAACAGGACAGTATTAGGAAGGAGCAAAATAAAAAAATATATAATTATACAAAATAAATTATGACATAATATAAATAAGAAAATGTAAAGAAGCGCAAAGCATAAGACAAAATTTTTAAGCTTGTCATGGCTAAGCTATGAATGTCTTGTGAGGCAGTGATTGCGATTATCTATGGGCTATGAAGATATAAATATCTTATAATATCAAACCTATAACACATCTGTGCAGTAAGTTACATTTGATCGAGAGCTAACGATTATATATATATATTGAATACACAACATGTGAACTTACAACTAAAACATTGTTAACCTTATACATTAAAAAAAAAATATACATTTTTCATTTTATGATAAAATGATTCACATTTTCACGAAACGATTGTGATTTTTCTAAGTATACAGTTAATGTTTAAATTAGCTAATAGGAAACGAATAGTAAATAGAAAATTCAAATACGAGAAAATGCGAATCAAACAATATCAAATCTGTAATTATGAAATATTTTGCAGCTAATGAACAATAATATCTAAAAACTTTAATCATTCAACGTGCGTAAAGAAAATGTTACATTCTAAACCACGTTATTGTCATAATAACATATCACACTGTGATTTTTTCGTACAACTGTGATTTTTACAATTATAAACAATTGAAAACATTTATACGCTAAAGAGGACTGAGAAAATTATAACATGTACAATTTAACAATTTATTGATGTTCCAAGAAATGAAATAATATTTATATTATTGCATGAATTACGACGACGACCAATACCCAGTTTAATATGCAGTTTTTGTAGTAATAAAATAATAATAATACAAAATAGTACGTGGTGCTGAAAACAATAAAATTTACATAGACGAATACGTTAACCTATTTTGGACTTTAAATTACAAGTATAAAGTATTATATTAAAAAAAAAGAGAGAGAGATAGCTGGACAGCTTAAATATATATATATTTCTCGCGTATTTAAAGCGACAAATAAGCTAGCACAATAAAATCGAAGCTAACATACACTACAAGTATTACTCACTTCCGCAAACTTTTTTCCATTTTTCAGACACTGAAATGCAATGCCAAATACTAACAGTCTTAGTATATATGTATATATACAATTCAAATGGTAAATACACGTGATATATGTGAAAATATAATTACGACATATGAAAATTTAAATGTGTATCGATCCAAATTTGATAAATGTGTTCACCTATTTAATATACAGGCTGTATATCAATTAACTATTTATAATATTCATAGATAGAGATGGATATATATATATCCCATGAAAAATATATAAACTGTGATTATAAAAAAAAAAATCGAAATATTTCGTATTCCAATCGTTCTATGTCCGAATTTCTCTACGAATACGTGGAAAAGTCATTAATAATTTAACTAAAACATCAACGCCATGAACGACATAGGGCAAATCACCAAAGATCGTAGTGTCACAGGTTTTTCTGCCTGAAAAATCCTATCTTTCAACGCCATGAAAGTTTTTGTGATTGATTTACGGAACGGATTAAACTAAAATGCAACATATATATATAGTGTTTTTACCATACATTTCAGTACAACTATTTACATTTCACACATTAATAAGATGCAATGTGCAAAGGTTCGATACCGTCATAGTGTCAACGAACCTCAAATCTAAATTAATACATTCGAACAAACACTGTCCACTCAACATTCTTAGCCTTCAAACAAGACGTAGATAGCTAACGAATCTTACTTAAATTATTTATTAATTATTTTTTCATAAAAGTGATTGTCTCAAATTTTGAGTATGTACGCTCAAAATTATTGAGAACTCGAAGATTCGTTAACGTTGTATATATATAGGTGACATTATATACATAATTAGTGCTTGATGTTATAAAAATCGTGATTACTGTGAGATAAATGAGTGTTATTGTGTGATAATGTTTAAATTATAAATAAAAAAAAAGTAATAATAAAAGAAACATTCATTGATATAGTGCAATTGATAATTGCAACAAAATATAACACAATAATTAAAATAAATTAAAAGTACACATTGCTTACTTGTATAATCATAATAAACAGTGTTGTTATAAATAAATTACATGCAAAATATTTTAAATGTGTTAACAGAACAAAAAAATAATAATAATAAAAAAAAAAGAATAACACAGAGGAAGAACAGAAAATAAGAATAGATAATTTAATAAACCACCGAAATTGAGCGACACATGCTTAATTTTTCGCACTACTCTGTGCTTTTATTTTATATTCATTTCTACATCAGTCCATTCTTTTCTATGTATAATTAAAATTAGTTTTCTCATGCTAGCAACGTCATGGACCTTCAATGCAGTCTATAATCCTCCACTAGAAAGATTTATCATGCCTTCATAATAATTTATACTCTAACTTCCTTTAATGTCATGCAAAATTATATTAAATCATCATTTTATTTTTTTTAAATACACTTTATTTATTTCCTTGCTTCTGAAGAACTAATTTTATGTTCGTTTTATTAAAGATTTTTCAATATATTGTATGTAAAACAGAACAATGGCACTAAACAATGTCAATAAATTAATATTCATACTCAATTATATTTATTTTAATAAAAATTAACATTCAATAACGAAATAAATGTTTAGTGCCATAATTAATAAAAATTACACCAAAATTTAAAATTTGTACTTACTGTTGTTTGCCATCAGGTTTTCGTGGAGTTTATCACGTTGATCTTCTAGTACCTGTGAGAATAACAAAACTATGTTGAAATAACAATAATAAAATTAATATACTTATCAAAAAAAAAAATTCTGTAAGTGGGATTAATTTTTTTTACTGGCAATATTAAATAACCAACAGTTATCATTGTACATTTTTTTTTGTTTAATTTATAATGGTTCTCAATTTAAATTTCTTTTTACTTTGTATGTTACATAATATGATGGCCTATTGTAAACCATTTACATTATTGTTTTTGATAAATATCATTAATAAATAAAAAATAAATCGAAATATGGTAGTTTGTTCACATATGACAGAGATTTTTGGATATTTGCTATATTTATAAACGTTTTTACAAGTTAATATTAGTTAAAAGTAAGAGTTCTACAATATTTTAAACCAATACAAGTTAAAATTTATTTATCTATACTTAATTTTAATTGAAGATTACTGTACAATAACACTTTATTGTACAGTAGTCTTCAATTGTAGGATACAAAGTTTTTAAGAAAAGAATGAGTACAATGGCACACTTAAACTGTATGGTAAAAGGAATTTTGCAGTCAACCTTTGAATGTCTGACAGAAATTGTGAATTGGTGGAGACAAAAAAAAATAGCAAATTAAAAAAAAAATAGTAAAATAATAAATGTTACAGATACTACACTTATACTCATACTTATGTTTAGATAAGAAAAAAAAATATTGATTAACTAGTCAAAATTATCTTCACATCCCATATACGATACAAAGGTCGCCATAACGTTTGCAGCATTTCATTTAGGTTACAAATATAGTTTAGGTAAGCAAGAAGCTATTAGGGTGTTATTCAATATTAACACAGAAAATATCATAGGTCACGCAATATGGGCGCGAAAATGTAGGCATAATGGCGGGCGAATCAATAACTTTCAACTTGTCTAATTTCTTTTTTAATGCGTGAAAACCGAATGGTAACCCCGCCTAGCATAGTCGGTATACGCTGAGCACCAGTGAGATGACAGATGAGGATGAAAGCAAGACAGTTGACCTATCGTGATGAATTCAACAATAGTTAACCAGGATGGTATTCAGGCGGAACCGCGTTTAGGTCGACCCTACAGGGTATATTACTAGCAACAGGACTGATACTTATTATATGGCTGTTGGTAATAAGCCCTACCCCTCTCTTGTCTTGGATTACACCAGATTAACTCCCAGTTTAGACGTGTTTGCAACAAAGAATACTTAATCGTTTTGGCACAGGAAACAATCAGAATGGAAGGGTTTTCAATAATTTTAGTTTTTTATTAACGGTTTCAGTAATTTCACAATTTCTTGTTTTTTTCTCACGTCTGTTACCACTCATTGTTCTGTCACTAAGCAGCTGCTCCATTGTCACAGTTAAAAAAGCAGTTATATTACAAGGTATTGAGGTGTAACACCTTAGTCCTCAGGAATATTACAACAACACATAACAACATAACATGACAACACATTAATACAATGAGTGTCACAATATATTTAATAATGTCCATGGTGCTCCACTCATCCAATGAGATCAAAAGAGTTGCGGATGCATTATGACTCAGAATAACAAGGAATAGGAGATAATTAAAACATTGTTCCACAAAACAAAATAACAGACTTCCATTTTCTTTTTTGTGATTGCATGACATGGAACCACATGTTTTATTTATGCAACTTCGAATGGCAAACAAGCTGACGGCCCACCTGATGGAAAGTATTAACCATCGCCTATAGACATGAGCAGTACCATGGACATAACAGAGTACACTGTTTCGTCCATGATATCCCCCATGCGTTGCCATTCCTAAGGACTCAGGTGTTACTCCTCTGTACCCTGTTAATTCACTGCAATATCCCACCCTTCAAACCAAAACACAGCGATACAAACACAACTGCTTTACAGTATCTCGAAAGATGGTAATTTGTTCAAGAGTATGTTTGTTACATAAAAAAACTACAATCAAATTGAGAACTTCCTGCTTTTTTAATTTAGTTGAAAATGGACGACACTGCAAAGTCTTTGTTTAAAAGACATGTTGACCCAGCAAGTGTTGTACAGAATATTTATTAATCATCTAATAGGATAATAAAGGTTTTTTTTTTTCAGTTAAAAACAGTTGGTGCTGTTCATGTCTATAGAGAACAGTTGTCTATTTTTATAAGCTGGCCCAACAAACATTGTTTCACTTACCATAGTGGTAGGAGATACATTTTTTCATCAGGATAAAACTTTCCTATGGGTGTAATAAGAGGCAACTAAGGGACCTTAGTGATCAAGGGATAAGCAGCAGCATGCCTCTTAAAACATCTCTAAAAGCCTAACTGCAGTTGCTAACCTGTCTGCCAAATGTGGTAACTACTGGCAAAACTCCTCTTATAGGGGAGGCTTACGTTCAGCAGTGGACAATTAATAGCCGATATAATAATAATAATAAAGATGGTCTTAAACAGTACTAACCTCACCGAGGTACTGCGCCACTTTTCTGGTGACACTTTCAACGAAGCCATCTAGCTTACCAAGGTCATCGGACAGGCCAACTAATTGATCCAGTGTCCCCACCTGGAAAGCAAATATTTTACATTTGTGAATGTGGGAATAAATTAATGGATTTTTTTTATTTATTGCACAGATAAAAAAATATAATTAATAATCACTTTATACTCATAATTTCTTTCTATTCATAATAATAATGCTACTAAAACAACAAAGAAAGAATACTGAAATAAAAAATGTTTTGTTTTTTTTCATTCTCTTTTTCCTCTTACAGAGAAAACCCATCCTCTATAGAAATATTGAATGTAAAAAATTACTTATTGATATGTAGTAAATACTTAAAAATATTTTATATAAAACATCATATTCAAAATAATTTAATATGTATTACTTTATGACATAAATTTTATATTTTAGTTTTTAAAATTAATATATATTTATTAGATGTACATTTTTATATATTTATTTAGTTAAAAATTATTTTTTAATCAACCTGCGAAGTAAATTATATTGATTTTATAATTTCACAAATGTACATTTATATACTTAATTTAGTAGACTTAAATTACTGAAATTAATATACATTTTTAATAATTTAACTAAATATAGTTTCTTTTTTTTAACTTTAGTATGTTTAATAATTAACTCACCTTAAGGTCAGGGATAGGGAATTTGTAGTTGACACTGAGGTTGCCAGACTTAGTGGCATTATTTAGGGTGTCCCATGTCTGCTGGCAGGTCTTGTCGCCCGGGGCGCTAATAAGCCAGTACTCAGACATTATCGGTACTGAAACATTCACATTTACCTAATCAAATAAAACCCCCTACGCTACTAATCATATAATGATTACTTAAAAATATACACGAACCTTAAAACTACATTTCTATCAAGTAACAAATTATTTAGTTTGGTGAAAAAATCGATTTTTCAAATTCAGAACGCTACTGCTAGACCTTGGCGATCGGAAGCAAGAAGCAATCTGATGTTTTGACACAAATTACACGGCAATGGAGCAACGTAGTGAATCAATATCGGGTAGGGACGGCTGGCGCCCGCCTGGCGCTCAGACATCCTGGCGCCAGATCCCTATTATCCCAAGAAATACACCCCCAAACCACCCTACATTTACAGTCACTCGTAACTTTTGACACTTAAGTCGCGCGCAATATCTTTTTAGTACATCTCTGTGCACTATACACAAACCAACATATCACAATACTCACCTGTAACTTAAATATTAATGCTGTTTTATAATAATTTTTTGAAACAGCAAATAATTTGGCGAAATCACAAGACAATTCGGGACTAGCCCTGTAGCGCCATGAAAATTCACGTGACGCTGTGCTGCCACCTATAACAACTGGTACTGTATTGGACAGCTGATTTACGTCAATTGTCTATGGACAACAACATTTTCACAATTTTGAACGAGTTCACAAAGTTTTATAATATATTAAAACTTTTATAACTTAAATATTCCTAACTTATGATAATCATTTAAAGTAAATTTTGAATTAAAAATAAATAATATACTTACAAATCATATTTTGACAATTTTGTTTTGAGTGATGTGACAAACTTGAAGTCTTGAAGTTGAAAAACTAGCCAATCTACCTGAAGTAGCTTATTTTAATTTATCCTAATAAATTGTTTAGAGTTACCAACTTCGAAAAATATTTTACCATATATCGAAACACCTATATAATATCAAAATAATTTATGATTATAAAAATGGATCACACAACTCTTCACTATACCAAAAACACTCCTTGCATTTAATGTTTTATGATTATTATTTATATATTTATTATTATTATTATATTATTGTTATAAAAAAAGGAATATCAGAATACCAAAAAATGCCATATTAATTTAAAAGCCGGACATGCCTTATAAATATGGAAAATTTGAAAATTATTATTTTTCGAGTCATGACTAATAAATAAATTAATATTTCATTGGTAAATTTTTATTTTTACGGATTCTATCCTGTATAAATAAATGACGCGAAATCAACCACCTTAACGAACATAATTAATAGATTCATATAATACTTGTTTTCACCCTAATATAATGGAAAAAAAATTAGATATTGTTCAATCCTTTTCAGGGTTACTATTAAAATAATGTATAAAATATTGCCATTTAAAACTTAATTTCAAGATGTAGTTAGGAGTGTATAATATATAGTAATATCTATATATTTTAGTTCCAATATCTATATACTGGTCCAATAACATGTTAAAAGTCTATTATCGAATAATAATTTTTGGATAACAGGCTTATAACATATTCGAAAATAAATATCCGACCGATATTGGTGATATTGAAATGGGCGTTACCTTTTTTTCGCCATGAATGTATAGAGGAACCCAATATATAGATATCGGATCGGTATTTATATTACCAATACTTAGTCGTAGTTTAATATTAATAAAAATATTTTATAATTACAGTAAAAACAAAATTCAGGAAGGTACTACTATACTCAATCTATGAGTTTCTGCCATGTTTTCATAGATGTAGTAGTAATTACTTGCTCTTTGCTGAACATTGACAGCACCCAATCCAATCTGACATTTACATATTACGGGATCTATTATTCTATTTGGTAAAAATGCGAATATTTAGTTATTTATCAAAGAAAGTGGGTGATCTCACTGTTAAATATTCAAACCTTCCTGAATCCTATATAAAGAGAAGTTATGAACAGGTATGATAACAATTATATAAATTTTTTTGCTTGTTAATAATCATAACCTCAAATTTTGTTTTTGTTCCTTTTCAGGTATATTGGAAGAATCCAACTGGTTACCCACAGTATCCCAAAGCCCAGGTGGCACGTAAGAAGTTCCGTTTTACCACAAATAGACCATGGACTGGTCACTTCAGACAGCAAAATGATGTTGGTGTTCATAGAAAAAAAGTGTTTGTAGAGCCAGTTGGGGAGTGGAGTTTTTTCAAGTAATCATATATTTTTTTTCAGTTAATTTTAAGTGATATTTAATAATATGTCATATGCACTTGTGAAAAAGAAAATATTAGTTTTAGAGCATTCCACACACTCATAAACATCAGCTGTCCATATAGGTTTATAGTCAAATACATGTAGTATTTTTATTATATTTATTCGCCTTAGAATGCTCCTAATAAGACATCGCAAATCACCCTGTGATATCTATGATGCCCTCATTCATTACTGTTTCTGAGCACTTATGCTCCAAATCCTGCAACTTCACTGCCATTAAATTTAATCATATTTATATTTATATTAACAGTATAAATATGGATTTAACAGAGCTTTTCATGTAGATAATGTTTGTACAACGCCCTCTAGTAAAACTTATACTTTCATGAATGAAAATACTTTTTATATATTTTTGATTCAATATTGACATGAATAATTTCAGCTTTTTTTTCTAATTAGTTCCATTAGGAACAGAATGACCATGTTGCCTAGTCTTTGGTTTTGATTTAACAATATTTGCAGTTATCAATTTCATTTCAGTGTCCAATTCAAATTTCTTTAGTAAATTTTTAAAGTACAATTCTTTAATAATAATAAATAATTAAAATATTTATTTAATCAGACTACATAAGGCCCATTTTGTTAGTTATAAATGGACTTAACCTATGTTAGTAAATGAGCGGTCATGACTCTTGCATTAGTTGAACTTAAATTTTTCATTTGGTTTTGTAAAATTCCTTTTTATTTTACTCAATTTTCCTTATTTTTTTGTATTTCAGAGGTGATAGAGTAGAAGTAATGGTTGGCAAAGACAAAGGAAAACAAGGCATTGTCAGTCAAGTGGTACAGGAACGTAATTGGGTATTCGTGGAGGGGCTCAACACACATCTCCGTATTGTTAGTATAATTTTATCTACTTGTTTGTGTTTAACTATGGTATCAATCTCATTGAGCCTATTTATTATCTTTTTATCTCATGGGAATATCATGAAATCTTAACTAGATTCCTTTTTGGTAAAAAAAATGATGTTCAATCTTTTAACTTTTTAACAGTAACTGAGTTGTGTTTTTGGGAGAGATTATTGTTAAGTATAGGCATTAGTAGTCCCATAGCTAAGAATACGATCTCTTCCTTTTATCCTTCATCTTGGGCGCAGGACTCACAGAAGTGACTTCTATATTTGTTAGTGTGCGCAGTAAGTTCCAGTTTTTTCCAGCTGAGACTGTTTGATGCAACATTGTTTCGTCTATTTACTTCTGTGTTGTTCTAGGATCATGTTATGAAAATGCTAGCAATATTCTATGAATATTATTCCATAATATAACTGGATGCAGATGAGTCAGGACCGTGCCTTATGGCTGTCTATAGGGGAGGCCTATGTTCAATAGTGGACAGATAATGGCTGGTATGATAATGATAACTATAAAAAAATGCAATAGAATTGAGAACATTTTTCTTTTTGATACTGGTTAAACATACAACTTCTTTTGTAATTTTCAGGTGGGTAAAGACAAGAATTTCCCCGGAGTGACGGTCCAGTCAGAGGCTCCGCTCCTTGTCACAACTGATGTGAAACTTGTAGACCCAGAGAATTTGAAGCCAACTGAATTTGAGTGGAGATATACTGAGGAGGGGGAGAAGGTATTTATGAGACCTTAATGAGCTTCACAGGCCAGGGAAATTTTATTTCTAGACATTAAAAAAATATTAACTTATTGATAAAAATGTAAAATATCCGATAAAACTATTTTAGCTATTGAACTGTTTTGTCTCTTTCTTTTTCTTTCTGTTAGTAATGGAGACTAAAAATCCCATTGCTAGCAATACACCCAACCAAATCGACCTCGCGGTTCTCCCATGATTAATTCCCTGGAAACTATCATGATTAATTCTTCATGATGAATTCATCATGATGGGCTAACTGGCCTGTTTTCATTCTCATTTATCACCCTTCACTGGTGCTCCGCCAGCGTATCCCGTTAGCGCAGGCGGGGTTATCATACCATTTTTATTCTACAAAAAAAAAAACTCGTTATAGAGTCTAGCGCACAGTAGAGATGTATACAAGAAGTATTTATCTCACCAGAGGGAGACATTGTACAAAAGTCGATTGCTTGGATACCTCTATCCCATTCGTGTTTCAACCGTGAAGCAGTTGTGTTTGCATGGCTGTGTTTTGGTTTAAAGGGTGGGATATGGCGTAAATTTACTGGGTACAGAGGAATAACACCTGAGTTCTCAGTAATGGCAACGCATGGGGGGAATCATGGGCGAAACAGTATACTCTGTTATGTCCATGGTACTGCTCAAGTCTATAGGCGACGGTTACCACTTTCCATCAGGTAGATCGTCAGCTTGTTTGCCATTCTAAGTTGTATAGAAAAAAAAATATATACAGAATGTGCATATACAAAAGGCGGCCTTATCGCTAAAAGCAATCTCTTACAGACAACCTGGCATAAAGAATGGATAAGTACAGAGAGAAAGATAGATGGCGCAAGTCAGACACAGTAAATACATAAAAGGAATCAAACAAAATGCAAAATATTCTAAATATAAAAATAAGATTACAATAAATAAATATACATATATAACATACATATTATTTATTACCAGGTGCGTGTATCTATGACAAGTAGCCGCATCATTCCCATACCGAAATCAGCTGAGGAGACCATAGATTACAAGAGCAAGGAGTTGTATGTGGCCAATCCCGACAAGGATACAGAGGCTGATGTTGTTACTAAGGTATATTGTTGATTGCCTATGGTATGGGCGTGTGATCACCCTTTCCATTTTCTCCATAAACTCTCTTTTGCCAACTTTCTTCACTTATTCTTAAGAAGATAGCATTTTATAAAATACTTTTTAGAGATATAATTTTTTCTGAAGACTCGAAATCAAAAATGTTTACTGAAATTAGACAGAAATTGTACTAGTTAAAAATTATCTTTAAAAGTATCCTTATTTCTTAACTTATAGGTACAAATTTATTTATTTATTTAAACTTCAATGCACAGTGAAATTCTATGTACATTTGACGGATTTAACACCGAACGGTGTTCTCTACCAGTCGATTATTGGGCGAACAGAGAAATATTTAGGCGGTGTATTATTTAATGAATGTATTAATATATTGTAAATATATAATTAGACTAATATAAACATACACATAATATGTTAAATAAATAAATATATAAATATAATAAATGCGTACATAAAATATTACTATAATAATGCAGTAAAAGCTCTTTATTTGCGGTGTATACGTTCCGTATAAATACCGCGAATACAGAAACCGTGAATATAGAAAGCCGAACCACTTATACAGCGGCGAGACAGCATTTGACAACATACTTTAGGCGTAGTTGTGTAGGTCTGTTTAAATTTTTTATAAGTCCACTTCCCGACGTCTTTACAAAGGATACAGGATCCTTTTTATTAATATGTACCGATTAGATCCGCGAATATAGAAATTTTTAGCCGCACATATAGGAATTGAGTCGCAATTTTTTAATCCGCGAATCAAGGAAGCGTGAATAAGGAAAATTTACTGTATACTGCTATATATGGTTACAGATAACGTTCGAGCCAAAACTGCGTACATTTGAAATGGATATCATGGAAGCAATGGGCATCAAAGAAGACAGAGTGCCAGCCAAGTCCTACTGGTATTAAACTATTATACGAGAAATTAGAAAATAAAATTATTATGTATAAAATAAATTACATGTAAATAATTATTGTTGTTGTTAACAGGCCTCATAGATGATAGATAATATAGTGTGCTGTAAAATTTGTATTTTATTTTTATCTTCACGCTAAGTCCCTAACGGGGTAAGTAGAGAGATCAAAATACTTTTTTTTTTATAAGACTTAGAATGGCAAACAAGCTGACGGCCCACCTGATGGAAAGTGGTAACCGTCGCCTATAGACACGAGCAGTACCATGGACATAACAGAGTATACTGTTTCGCCCATGATATCCCCCATGCGTTGCCATTCCTGAGGACTCAGGTGTTATTCCTCTGTACCTTGTAAATTCACGCCATATCCCATTCTTTAAACCGAAACACAGCCATGCAAACACAACTGCTTCACGGTTGAAACACGAATGGGACAGAGGTACCCAAGCAATCGACTTTTGTACAAAGTCTCCCTCTGACTACGATACTTTAAAGAATGGTATATGAAATGGAATTTTTTTGCCGGGGCACCAGTGAGGGATGACAGGTAAGAATGAAATCAGGTCAATTAGCCCATTGCGATGAATTTCACAAGAATTAGACATGATGACTTTCAGGGGAACCGCGTTAGAGGTCGACCTGATAGGTGGTATTAATAGCAATGGGGTCTAACCTCTCCATTACTAATAATCCCTACCATCCACTTCTAATGGTCTTTTTTAAGGGTGAACATGAAATGGTAACCCTGCCTGCGCTATCGGTATACGCTGGCAGGGTACTAGTGAAGGGTGACAGGTGAGAATGAAGGCAAGTTGGCCCATAGCGATCAATTGAACAAGAATTAACCACTGTGGTTTCCAGGGGGAACCGCGTGGAGGTCGACCTGATAGGGTGTATTGCCGGCAATGGGGTTATTAAATTTCAACATTACAATCCCTTTCCCCTACTACTCACTGGTTTTTCACGCTTCCTTTGTAGCATCGGAAGGTTAGTAACTTGAGACGCAAGACAAGTGTACACACAGCACGGTTAAAGCAGTTGGCAAACAATGTTAAATTATAAATTATATATACAAACGATATGAATGTGATAATTTAGAGGGAGATTTTGTACAAAAGTCGATTGCTTGGGTACCTCTGTCCCATTCGTGTTTCAACCGTGAAGCAGTTGTGTTTGCATGGCTGTGTTTCGGTTTGAAGAGTGGGATATGGCGTGAATTTACTGGGTACAGAGGAATAACACCTGAGTCCTCAGGAATGGCAACGCATGGGGGGTATCATGGGCGTAACAGTATACTCTGTTATGTCCACGGTACTGCTCATGTCTATAGGCGACGGTTATCACTTCCCATCAGGTGGGCCGTCAGCTTGTTTGCCATTCTTAGTTGTATAAAAAAAAGTAACAATGAACAAGTAAATGTAAACAAAAATATATAAAAATATAGACATGTCAAAGAGACTTGACGGCTGTTCGTAAAATGTTTTTGAAAACATTCAGATGCGGGTTGAAAATATTTAGCGGATATTTCATTAAAAGTACGACCCATACGGATGAGGGTTTCTTTTAATAGATGATAATGGAATGGTAATCCCGTCTGCTCTAGAGGTTTACGCTGGAAGGGCACTAATGAAGGATAATAGGTGAGAATGAAAAAGCAGGTCAATTAGCCCATCGTGATGAATAGACCTGAAATTCAGCACGATGGCTTCCAGGGGGAACCGCGTGGAGGTCGACCTGACAGGGCAATATTGCTAGTAATGAAACTGATAGCCCACATTACTAACAATCCCTTCCCCCTCCCGGATGAGCGGGTTATAATACGACTTATTCTTATAAATGTTGATGTAGAGTTTGCAAACGTATTTGCTTGTGAGCGTGGATGGTCAACCGTGTATAGATAAAGTTTTTTTTTAATGGGTGATATTGGAATGGTTACCCCGCCCGTGCTATCGGTATACACTAGCGAGGTACCAGTGATGGATGATAAATGAGGATGAAGTAGTAGGTCAGTTAGCCCATTGTGACGATTTCAACAAGAATTGTTCACGATGGTTTCCAGGGGGAACCACGTGGAGATCGACCTAATAGGGCATATTGCTAGCAATGGGGCTGTCAAACTCGATTGCTAACAATCCCTTTTCCACCTTATATAGATATAGTTGCTGGTCCATCCTCATAGTGCGATATCAGAAAGTAGAAGGTGGAATAAGGGAATGAAGTTCCTCTGATCACTTGCCATAGAATAAGCGGTAGAAGGTACTGAGGGAGTCTATGTATCTTTTTTTTTATAACACGGGGGCAAACAAGTATGCGGCTCACCTGATGGTAAGTGACTACCGCCAACCTTGATCACATACAACACTAGAGGTATTGCAAGTGTGTTGCCGGCCTTTTATAAAGGAATATGCTCTTTTCTTGAAGATTGATGATATCTATGTAATTGTGGAGGTTCTGAAGTTTAGCTCACCTCAGCACCTCCCAAGACATGAACAGCTCGTGTCTGCAGAACATCGTGAGCTTGTAGGATTATTAATACATTAACTATTCATTATAATTAGTAGAAAATTAAAAAAAAAATCAGATAACCTTTTTGGTATTTTTTTTTATACAACTTAGAATGGCAAACAAGCTGACGGCCCACCTGATGGAAAGTGGTAACCGTCGCCTATAGACATGAGCAGTACCATGGACATAACAGAGTATACTGTTTCGCCCATTAGATTCGAACTCACGGTCTTTGGGGGTGAATAACTTCGTGTTTCTACCGTGAAGCAGTTGGGTTTGCATGGCTGTGTTTCGGTTTGAAGGGTGGGATATGACAGTGAATTTACAGGGTACAGAGGAATAACATCTGAGTCCTCAGGAATGGCAATATATGGGGGGTATCATGGGTGAAACGGTATACTCTGTTATGTCCGTGGTACTGCTCATGTTTATAGGCGACGGTTACCACTTTCCATCAGGTGGGCCGTTAGCTTGTTTGCCATTCTAAGTTGTATAAAAAAAAAACTAAGGATAGGGCACGATGTTTAACGCTTTACATGGTAATGCATACTAATATAACTGACCTACATTTAAATTTGCACTAAATATCATAATTAACTGCGGCCAATACTTCGATTATCGCTTCCCTATTTTACATTGACCTCGCTTTTAACCTTGGCAGTGACTTTCAAATTATCAGCTGATGATGGAACATACCTGTAAAAATTCTTTAAGCATTGTAGATATGTAATAAGTTTTTATTATAAAAAAAAAAAATATTTAAATAGGTACCTAAAATCCTCAGTGAATTTTCGAACGAATGTGTTCCATTATCAGATTTTTAATATGCATGCCAAAAAAAAGGCCTTGTATTGAAATCAGGTTGATTTTTTGTGGCTGTAAAGGATAAACTCAAAAGAGGATACATACTGGGTACAGAGGAATAACACCTGAGCCCTCAGGAATGGCAACGCATGGGGGTATCATGGGCGAAACAGTATACACTGTTATGTCCGCGGTACTGCTCATGTCTATAGGCGACGGTTACCACTTTCCATCAGGTGGGCCGTCAGCTTGTTTGCCATTCTAAGTTGTATAAAAAAAAAATTATTCGTTTCTAAAATTTTTTTTCATCTTTAGTAAGTCACATTATCAAGCAGTAACATAAAGTATATAGATAGATAGATACTCTTTATTGTTTCCTCCAAAAGATTACAATAGTAAACTTATTATAGTTACAAACAATTACAAGAAATAATCACAATGAGAAAAGAATGGGTGGCCTTATCGCTTTTAAAGCGATCTCTTCCAAGCAACCTTTGGTTGGAGAGGAGTAAATATAAAAAAAAATATATATTATATTTTATTTTTCGTGCGAAGCGCAGGCGAGTCGCAACTTCGCAAGTTTACCTAATAAATGTAATGTGATTTAAAAAATTTAAAATATTTGAATTTAGAACGCGGTAGATAGAAAAAAAATATATTAATTGTGACAAACGGTTTTTATTTGGCGATCCCGTAAGTAGGTATAACTTGTCACAAAAAATAAAGATAAATTACGAGTAAGAATGTTTTTGAAATTACTTGAAAAATAATACTCTTTTTTATGGGATAATAACGATATGGTAACTTCTTCTGTGCTGTCGGTATACACTGACGGGGCAGCAGTGAGGGGTGAGGATTTTTTTTGATGGGCGAAAATGGTATGGTTACCCCGCCTGCGCGGAAGCTTGGAAGACAAGCAACCTTTGGTTGGAGAGGAGTAAATATAAAAAAAAATATATATTATATTTTATTTTTCGTGCGAAGCGCAGGCGAGTCGCAACTTCGCAAGTTTACCTAATAAATGTAATGTGATTTAAAAAATTTAAAATATTTGAATTTAGAACGCGGTAGATAGAAAAAAAATATATTAATTGTGACAAACGGTTTTTATTTGGCGATCCCGTAAGTAGGTATAACTTGTCACAAAAAATAAAGATAAATTACGAGTAAGAATGTTTTTGAAATTACTTGAAAAATAATACTCTTTTTTATGGGATAATAACGATATGGTAACTTCTTCTGTGCTGTCGGTATACACTGACGGGGCAGCAGTGAGGGGTGAGGATTTTTTTTGATGGGCGAAAATGGTATGGTTACCCCGCCTGCGCGGGGGAAAAGGGATTGTTAGTAATGGAGACTGAGAATCCCATTGCTAGTAATATACCCAACCAGGTCGACCTCGCGGTTCTCCCTGGAAACTATCATGGTTTATTCCTGATGAATTCATCATGATGGGTTAACTGGCCTGTTTTCATTCTCATCTATCGCCCTTCACTGGAGCTCCGCCAGCGTATCCCATTAGCGCAAGCGGGGTTTTTTTTATGGGTGAAAATGGTATGGTAACCCCGCCGCTAATGGGATACGCTGGCGGAGCACCAGTGAAGGGCCACTATGTTTTCCACGGGGAATCGCGAGGAAATAAACTTGATAGGTGGTATTGCTGGCAATGGGGCCGCTAGTCCCCATTGCTGACAGTCCCGTATCTCCCCTGAAAAATGATATTAGTCACTATTACTGATAATATTATTGAAACAAAGTTAAAATTAAATAAAAATATGACAAAGAATGTAATCTAGCTACAGCCA